CATCCACCCATCCATCCATCCATCTATCTACCTATCCATCCATCCATCCACCTATCCACCTATCTATCTATCCATCCATCCACCTATCCATCCACCTATCCACCTATCTATCCATCCATCCATCCACCTATCCACCTATCTATATATCCATCCATCCATCCATCCATCCATCCACCTATCTATCTATCTATCTATCTATCTATCTATCTATCTATCCATCCAACCATCCAACTCATTTTTAATTAAGTTTGCAATTATATATTTATAATTAATTTTGAATTCATTTATTTGTAATTAATTTTGAATTCATTTATTTGTAATTCATTTTGAATTCATTTATTTGTAATTGATTTTGAATTCATATATAAACTTCCAAGCACTTAACTGCAGATTGTTGTGTGCACTTCATCAAATGCAGACACAAAGGTGCTCTTCTATCTATCTATCTATCTATCTATCTATCTATCTATCCATCCAACCATCCAACTCATTTTTAATTAAGTTTGCAATTATATATTTATAATTAATTTTGAATTCATTTATTTGTAATTAATTTTGAATTCATTTATTTGTAATTCATTTTGAATTCATTTATTTGTAATTGATTTTGAATTCATATATAAACTTCCAAGCACTTAACTGCAGATTGTTGTGTGCACTTCATCAAATGCAGACACAAAGGTGCTCTTCTCATGTAATTACTCAGTTTGTACAGTTATTCATTCTTTCTGAAGTATAAGCATTCAATTGTATTATGCTTATATTCATGTATAATATATATCTTTACTGCTCCAACAGAAGAACGACGGTCAGTTCACTGTCATCCAGTTGGTCGGCATGCTGCGTGGCATTGCTTCTGGCATGCGCTACCTCTCTGAGATGGGCTATGTGCACCGTGACCTGGCTGCCCGCAACATCCTGGTCAACAGCAACCTGGTGTGTAAGGTGTCCGACTTCGGCTTGTCGAGAGTGCTGGAGGACGACCCAGAGGCGGCCTACACAACCCGCGTACGTGCTACAGAGGATAAACGCTGAGTCACGCTAACAGCTAACCTACTACACCTCGCATCTATTAGCTACCTCGCAGCAGGCCTTTTGTTTTAATCCTGGATTCAAACCCAGTGCCACTAGCACCCTACTTTTCAATACTGTTGTCTTCCTGCTCTCTGATATTGCAGTAACATATTAAGCTGGACGCTTCTGTTGCAGAGTGCATTAGGGACATTTTACACTACAAAATCATGTGCTGCATCCTCTACAACCTAGAACTATGAATGAACCCTGAACTACGGATGCTTATTTCCACCATAGAATTGTCAGAATTAAGTTTATATTTCGCACATTCGCAAGTTATAAATTTGTAAAGTTTACATCTCACAACTCTTACTTTTTTCCTTGCAATTATGAGTTTATATCTCACAATACTGACTCTTTTTCTCACAATTGGAAGTCTGTATCTCACAATTCTGACTTTTTTTCTTGCAAAAAAAAAACTTTCATACTGAACTGACCCGCAGAGTCAGAATTGCATATCTTGGATGGCAATTCACTGATTTATATAACTATTTTACTGAAGGGTGCTAAAATAATTCCAGGGGCCAGATAAAATAAAATAAAATAAAATAAAATAAAATAAAATAAAATAAAATAAAATAAAATAAAATAAAATAAAATAAAATAAAATAAAATAAAATAAAATAAAATAAAATAAAATAAAATAAAATAAAATAAAATAAAATAAAATAAAATAAAATAAAATAAAATAAAATAAAATAAAATAAAATAAAATAAAATAAAATAAAATAAAATAAAATAAAATAAAATAAAATAAAATAAAATAAAATAAAAATTTATTTTCTTAAGAAGCATTTTCTAAAACAGAATTTGGTGTTATCTGATTGTATGGAAGTGTTTGTCACTTGCTGATGAGTCTAATGAAAAATACCTCAAAGACTGTTTTTGCACAGCCCACAAATTAATGTAATAATCATAACAAGCATGCATTATTTTCATTGTGAATTGCTTGGCAGGAGTTTAATACTCATTCTAAAATTTCGCAAGAATGTTACTAAGTTCAACTTAAATTTTTTTTTTAAGAATTCTCAAGAACTGTCTTAACATGACAGGCTGTGGTGTTGTGTATGGCGTTGTTGCCAAAGACTCAATGACCTCAAAGTCCATGTTTTTGCACAGCCTGCAGATTAATGTAATAATCATAAGTCTGCAACTCTTGAACAATTCTTGAGTACCTTCTTAAGTGTTTTTTTAAAAACACATTTTTTAAATGTATTAATTTCCACTGTTTCTCTTGCTCTGTCTCTAGAAAGAATGAGTCCTGTATGTAAGTGTTGTAAATAGAAGCAAATAGAAAATGGCAGTTAAGAAGTACTTTATTTTTAAGAATGTTTTGTGAATCCGGCCCCAGTACAATTCTGGCCGATGACAGTGTTATCTGCACATGCTATATGTGCAGATAATATTTCGCACATTCGCAAGTTATAAATTTGTAAAGTTTACATCTCACAACTCTTACTTTTTTCCTTGCAATTATGAGTTTATATCTCACAATACTGACTCTTTTTCTCACAATTGGAAGTCTGTATCTCACAATTCTGACTTTTTTTCTTGCAAAAAAAAAACTTTCATACTGAACTGACCCGCAGAGTCAGAATTGCATATCTTGGATGGCAATTCACTGATTTATATAACTATTTTACTGAAGGGTGCTAAAATAATTCCAGGGGCCAGATAAAATAAAATAAAATAAAATAAAATAAAATAAAATAAAATAAAATAAAATAAAATAAAATAAAATAAAATAAAATAAAATAAAATAAAATAAAATAAAATAAAATAAAATAAAATAAAATAAAATAAAATAAAATAAAATAAAATAAAATAAAATAAAATAAAATAAAATAAAATAAAATAAAATAAAATAAAATAAAATAAAATAAAATAAAATAAAATAATTTATTTTCTTAAGAAGCATTTTCTAAAACAGAATTTGGTGTTATCTGATTGTATGGAAGTGTTTGTCACTTGCTGATGAGTCTAATGAAAAATACCTCAAAGACTGTTTTTGCACAGCCCACAAATTAATGTAATAATCATAACAAGCATGCATTATTTTCATTGTGAATTGCTTGGCAGGAGTTTAATACTCATTCTAAAATTCCGTAAGAATGTTACTAAGTTCAACTTAATTTTTTTTTTAAAGAATTCTCAAGAACTGTCTTAACATGACAGGCTGTGGTGTTGTGTATGGCGTTGTTGCCAAAGACTCAATGACCTCAAAGTCCATGTTTTTGCACAGCCTGCAGATTAATGTAATAATCATAAGTCTGCAACTCTTGAACAATTCTTGAGTACCTTCTTAAGTGCTTTTTTAAAAACACATTTTTTAAATGTATTAATTTCCACTGTTTCTCTTGCTCTGTCTCTAGAAAGAATGAGTCCTGTATGTAAGTGTTGTAAATAGAAGCAAATAGAAAATGGCAGTTAAGAAGTACTTTATTTTTAAGAATGTTTTGTGAATTCTGTACAATTCTGGCCGATGACAGTGTTATCTGCACATGCTATATGTGCAGATAACACTGTCATCGGCCAGAATTGTAATTTGTTTAGCCTCAAAACCAGTGAAATTTGGTCAGAGCAAGAAAAAATTTATTCCACAGTGAGAACTAATTATTATTGAGCCCTGAAAATGGAGCTGCCTTGTTCTGAAAGAGGATAATTAGAGGTTTGGTGGTGGCTGTCATAATTAGCATAGCATAGTGCTCTTTGTCATCTGTTTTTTGTATTGGTGTGTCAAAGTATTAAAATGCATTTAGAATGAGCACAAATTCAAGACATGATGGCAGAACATTTATATATTTATACCACTTCATATAGTTATTCAATTTCACACGAAGAGTGCCGTTCTCTCCAAAAATTACCATGATTACAAATGTGACATTGAATTCAATAAACAATAAGTTAATTAAGAGACTTACGTTTTAGACACTATATTGCTTGTTTTTGCTATATTTCGCCAACAAAAATCATCCCGAATACAGCCACAGCGCTGTTTTGTGTCTCTGAGCAACGTGACGGTGTTTCGTTCCTGAATGAATCGACCGTTTAAATGATTCGGTTCAATCGCAACGACTCACTTATTAACAGTGACTTGCTGCCACCTGCTGGCGGTTTTCATTTCACATTTCTTTTTTTTCTTTTTTTTTCATGTTTTAAATCATTTCAAATATCAGTATTCAACGTTTTATGTGTAATATATCAAAACATTATTTATGCATTTGTAATTGCATGTTAAATGCATTCATGTTTTGCATTAAACACAATACATGTGTGTAAACACATCTAAATGCCTCTTCAGATGCAGCTTCTTTGTTGATTTAATTTGCTCGGTAACAGCCCAAATGTCTTATTACTCTAATTCACTGATTAAATGTAAGAATTTGACTCAAAAGATAATGGACACTTTTAGAAAAAATGGCTTTATAAAGGTAAAAATGCCCATAAAATGCAAAAATCAGTTTAAACTTATTGGAAAAGATTAATTTCTATCAGTATATCAGTACCACCACACAGAATATGAAGAATATTAAAAACATTAGGAGTCAGCTGTCTGCGGCAGTGCTTAAGACACCAGCACAATAACACACTCAGCAAAATATCGTCTAATTATCGTTATCGATAAAATCCCAGAAAGTATTGAGATATAATTTTTTGTCAATATTGCACACCCCTAATATGAACTGCAATTTAATAGAATTTTGGGCTCATTTCGACTTACGTCTTGATTGCTCATCTCCCAGTATGGTCTCTCGCCGTACGACATCACTTCCCACATCACAATACCGTAGCTCCACACGTCACTGGCTGAGGTGAACTTCCTGTAGGCGATGGCCTCTGGAGCCGTCCACCTGATGGGAATCTTTCCTCCCTGCAAGACAAACAGCTTTCTGAAATCTCACATCGTCTCACATCAGAAACGTGTCTTGTCAGAGCATCTTAACGGGTGATTATCGCTGGGAAAGAATGGCGTCAGGCTGTGAAATGTGACAGGAAGCATTAGGTCTGTGGATGGCTGCTGCATGCCAATCGTTAATTGACTGTCCCAGTGTTAGCACTCTCCGTCTCTGACGGCACTGAGGAGACATGTCTTAATTTACTTTGCCAACAGTTCACTTAGCCATAAAACGCTTCCCTCAGTGTTACTTTGACACACCAATACAAAAAACAGATGACAAAGAGCACTATGCTATGCTAATTATGACAGCCACCACCAAACCTCTAATTATCCTCTTTCAGAACAAGGCAGCTCCATTTTCAGGGCTCAATAATAATTAGTTCTCACTGTGGAATAAATTTTTTCTTGCTCTGACCAAATTTCACTGGTTTTGAATCCGGCCCCAGTACAATTCTGGCCGATGACAGTGTTATCTGCACATGCTATATGTGCAGATAACACTGTCATCGGCCAGAATTGTAATTTGTTTAGCCTCAAAACCAGTGAAATTTGGTCAGAGCAAGAAACAATGTGTACCACAGTGAGAATTAATTATTATTGAGCCCTGAAAAATATATAGCATATATTCTGACACTTATATGTTGCTAAAACACAGCCAGAATTGTATTTTATTTGTTTGCCTCAAAACCAGTGAAATTTGGTCAGAGCAAGAAAAAATTTATTCCACAGTGAGAACTAATTATTATTGAGCCCTGAAAATGGAGCTGCCTTGTTCTGAAAGAGGATAATTAGAGGTTTGGTGGTGGCTGTCATAATTAGCATAGCATAGTGCTCTTTGTCGTCTGTTTTTTGTATTGGTGTGTCAAAGTAACACTGAGGGAAGCGTTTTATGGCTAAGTGAACTGTTGGCAAAGTAAATTAAGACATGTCTCCTCAGTGCCGTCAGAGACGGAGAGTGCTAACACTGGGACAGTCAATTAACGATTGGCATGCAGCAGCCATCCACAGACCTAATGCTTCCTGTCACATTTCACAGCCTGACGCCATTCTTTCCCAGCGATAATCACCCGTTAAGATGCTCTGACAAGACACGTTTCTGATGTGAGACGATGTGAGATTTCAGAAAGCTGTTTGTCTTGCAGGGAGGAAAGATTCCCATCAGGTGGACGGCTCCAGAGGCCATCGCCTACAGGAAGTTCACCTCAGCCAGTGACGTGTGGAGCTACGGTATTGTGATGTGGGAAGTGATGTCGTACGGCGAGAGACCATACTGGGAGATGAGCAATCAAGACGTAAGTCGAAATGAGCCCAAAATTCTATTAAATTGCAGTTCATATTAGGGGTGTGCAATATTGACAAAAAATTATATCTCAATACTTTCTGGGATTTTATCGATAACGATAATTAGACGATATTTTGCTGAGTGTGTTATTGTGCTGGTGTCTTAAGCACTGCCGCAGACAGCTGACTCCTAATGTTTTTAATATTCTTCATATTCTGTGTGGTGGTACTGATATACTGATAGAAATTAATCTTTTCCAATAAGTTTAAACTGATTTTTGCATTTTATGGGCATTTTTACCTTTATAAAGCCATTTTTTCTAAAAGTGTCCATTATCTTTTGAGTCAAATTCTTACATTTAATCAGTGAATTAGAGTAATAAGACATTTGGGCTGTTACCGAGCAAATTAATCTGAAGTGGCATTTAGATGTATTTACACATGTATTTTGTTTAATGCAAGACATGAATGCTTTTAACCTGCAATTACAAATGCATAAATAATGTTTTGATATATTAAACTTAAAACGTTGAAAACTGATAATTGAAATGATTTAAAACATGAAAAAAAATCTACAAAAAAAAAGAAAAGCATGAAAAAGCCGAAATGTGAAATTAAAACCACCAGCAGGTGGCAGCAAATCACTGTTAATAAGTGAGTCATTGCGATTGAACCGAATCATTTAAACGGTTGATTCATTCAGGAACGAAACACCGTCACGTTGCTCAGAGACACAAAACAGCGCTGTGGCTGTATTCGGGATGATTGTTGGCGAAATAGAGCAAAAACAAGCAATATGGTGTCTAAAACATAAGTCTCTTAATTAACTTATTGTTTATTGAATTCAATGTCACATTTGTAATCATGGTAATTTTTGGAGAGAACGGCACTCTTCGTGTGAAATTGAATAACTATATGAAGTGGTATAAATATATAAATGTTCTGCCATCATGTCTTGAATTTGTGCTCATTCTAAATGCATTTTAATAGACTGAATCATGCAGCGAAAGAAAACACATTAAATGCGCACACGCACTAATCTAGACTTCACGTAATGTATGCGTGCGCTCTGTAGGGATGTTTTGAATGGTTTTTGCAAAATACTCGATAATGTCAAAATGCACATCGTTAAAACAACAATTACGATATTATCGCAGACGATATATATCCCACACCCCTAGTTCATATGTGGTCTTATTGGGATGACTTATTTTAGACACAGTATTGTCAGTATTGTATGTTTTGTTCAATTTCACAAACGAAAATAGTTCTAGTCAGTTGTCCAGTTGTCTTTTCGAGCAACACACGTTAGTGTTTTGTTACTGAATGAATCAACACATTTTTAATCGAGTGGTGAATGATTCAGTGACTCATTCATAAAGATGGCCGCTTGCTTCGTCACTGAATTCAATGATGAACTGTCTTTAACTGAAAAATGAGTGTTTACTATTGTCATTTTGCATTATTGACACACTATTTTCCTAATTAATGCTGTTCAGTTGCTTTGACACAATCTGTATTGTTAAAAGCGCTATATAAATAAAGGTGACTTGACTTGACTTGAATGAATTGGCCGTTTGAACAAATCGAGTGAGTGAATAATTCAGTGACTCATTCATGAAGCCAGTCATATGCTTTGTTTCTGAATGAATCAGCCATTTGAACGAATCAGCTGAATGCATGTCTGAATTACTTGTTTATTAAGACAGTGACTTGGTGCCACCTACTGGTGTTTTTTGTTTAATATTGAGTTTTGTTTTCTTGAAAAAAAATAATAATTCCATGTTTAAATATTTAAATATAATTGGCTATTCAGTGTTTTTTTTTTCTCATTTAACACAATAATTACTTTATGTGATATGTTGGGGGGTAATTTCTTAGCCGCAATTAACGCGCAATTACTTTGAATTTAAAATTTAGTTATTTTTGTAAATATAATAATATGGTATATCCAGTGATGATCCAGTGAAGCCAAAGTGCAGTTTTCCCCTGCAGTCTTTTAACACTACACCACAATAATTGCTTCCCATGGCTGTTTTAAGCGCTCACATGCTCTCTCGTATTTGCCTTTGGGGAAATGAGAGCGATAGAATGCTGACGTCTATAAATAGATCAGGAAGTGAGGGTAAACTCTGAGCTGAACTGACATATCGAACACCATCAGCGGGGGAGAGCCATGCAGATTTTGGGGTTGGGTTGGGGCTGAATAAACTCTTTCTCCCACCGCGGTGCATCTGCCTGCGGTCCAGTCAAAGGTCACCTGCTCAACAGCAGAATAGGAACACACAGGATGCTGGGTAATGGCTATTTGGGTTGAAAATGGGAGTTTCAGGTTTTGGCCACAAGAATTTTACTCTTGGCTTTTCTGCACGGAAAGTGCATCAGCTCTTTGTAGACAGAAATCTGCTGGCGTAATAGAATTCGACTCAGGCATAGAGTTTCTTTAAAAGACATTAAGTACAGTAGCTTTTACCAGAAGCTAACATCATCTATCGTTTCCTTGTCTCTGTCTAAATACAAACATGATCTCGCTGAATAGACACTGATTCATACAGCAAATAATAACATAGAAGCTTAGAAAAGTGTATACCAGGGATATTAAACTAAAAATAAATAAATACCATTTTCATAACTGATATTTAAATAAATAAATAAATATATACATTATTTTTAAAGCAAAATAGTAATATAAATATTAACAAATTAGTCTTTAAGAATTTCTTAAGTAAATATTGTTTTCATAATTCAAGTAAACAGTCAAAACCCTGTCACCAACCCTGCATTTATTTAATACAAAATACAATAAAACACTAATAATGTGAAATATTATTACAACATAACATTTTTCTGTTTTCTACTTGAACAAATTTTAAAATGAAATTTATTTCTGTGATCAAAGCTGAATTTTCAGCGTCATTACTCCAGTCTTCAGTGTCACATGATCTTCAGAAATCATTGTA